CAGAACTTGTTTTTGTTATCCACAGGGAGCTTCCTTTGTCTTTGCACACGTTTGCTAATGAACTGGAAGAATGTTTTCCTCTGTGTAAAATTTGAATAGAGTTCTGTAGAACTTCATTTCTACTTTTCACTGGAATGCCATATGGAAATATTCTTGTGACATTTTACTGGGAAGTGTGAAAACACAACTCATGACATTTCAAAGAAGGTTGATATTTATTCCACAGTATTACACTGTAGAGTCTAGAAAGGTGTGAGCAAAACAGATGATTTCTTTTATTTGAAGATTTATATTTATAGCTATATCTTCTACACAACAAATATAGTCTAACATCTGTGTAAATGAAATTCATGTAGTATGAACATTTTTTAGTATTTAAAATTATGAGAGCAACTGATTCTGAAGTATCCTTTTAAATTGAAGATTGGCTTCCTAATTTTCTATTAAAATTTGGATTTTGGTCTAGTGTTTTTTCTTAAAGGAAGATATAATTTGCTTTTTCATATACCTGTTCTTTATTTCCCTGTCTCCTCTCCCCCTGGATTCTTCTTTCTTCCTCCCTGATTCTCTCTTCCTTTTGTCTGCCTTCTCTTTTCTCTTCTTCTTTCTTTTCCCTATTTCCACTTCTCTCTTCATTTTTCTCTATGATATAAAGTGAAAGGAATGGATAACTTAGATATTTTTTATATTCAATCATTGCCAACATTTTGATGTTCCAATTTCTTATTTCTACCAGTTAGGTATACCATAATTTATTTAACCATTCACAATTTTGGACATATTGATTGTTTCAAACTATTATTACAGCTGTGATTTTTGCATCTGCAACTTCTTTTTGTACTTAGTACTGTTATTTAGAATTATTTTCTCAGGCTAGATTTCCAAAAGTGGGATTCTAGGACATTGATTGAGCATTATATTCTCACCAATGGTGTATGAGAACCAACATTGAATTTTATCGTTTAAAATTTTGGGCCGGCCCGGTGGTGCACTGCTATGGTGCGCCGCTTGGGAAGCGCGGCGGCGCTCCCGCCGAGGGTTCGGATCCCACATACAGACCGGTTCCCGCTCACTGGCTGAGCTAAGCGCGGGAGCAGCACCGAGGGTTGCGATCCCGTTGCCGGTCCCGGTCCGGTACAGGGGCGACACTGAGGGTTGCGATCCGTTGCTGGACACGGAAAAAGACAAAAAAAATAAATAAATAAATAAAAAATAAAATTTGCCAGATGAAGAAAAATGTCTTTTTTTTTTAAATTAATCTTTTTATTTTGAAATAATTGTTGATTGGCATTCAGTTGTAGGAAATAATACAGAGAGATTCCATGTATCTTACCCAGTTTCCCCAGTGGTAATATTTCAAAAAACTATATAACAGTACCACAACCAAGATATTGACATTGATAAAAGTCAAAATATAAAAAATTTCCCTAACCACAAGGATTCCTCCTGTTGTCCTTTTATAGCCACACTCACCTTTCTCACCGCCATCACCACCCCATCCCTGATTGACTTCTGGCAATCACTAATGTATTCTTCATTTCTATAATTTTGTTATTTCAACAATGTTGTATGAATGGAACCATACAGCTTGTAACCTTTTGGAATTGTTTTTTTTCACTCCTCATAGTTCTGCAAAAATTTTTTTTTTTTTTTTGTCTTTTTCCGTGTCCGGCAACAGATCGCAACCCTCAGTGTCGCCCCCGTACCGGACCGGGACCGGCAACGGGATCGCAACCCTCGGTGCTGCCCCCGCGCCTCGCTCAGCCAGTGAGCGGGAACCGGTCTGCATGGCAACCCTCAGTGTTGCCCCCGTACCGGACCGGGACCGGCAACGGGATCGCAACCCTCGGTGCTGCCCCCGCGCCTCGCTCAGCCAGTGAGCGGGAACCGGTCTGCATGTGGGATCCGAACCCTCGGCGGGAGCACCTCCACACTTCCTAAGCGGCGCACTAGCGCAGTGCGCCACCGGGCCGGCCCATAGTTCTGCAAAATTTACCCAAGTTGTTCTGTGTATCAATAATTTGTTCCTTTTTGTTGCTGAGTAGTAGTTCTTGGTATGGATGTACCATAGTTTGTTTTTTTAATCTTTTTTTTTTGGTTAACTGGCTAGTATAGGGATCGAACCCAGGACTTTAGTGTTACCAGAACCGCACTCTAACCAATTGAGCTAACTGGCCAGCCTTATTTATTTAACCATTTACCTGTGGAAGGGTTTCTGGGTTGTTTCTAGCTTTGGGCTATTACGAATAAAGGAGCTATGAATATTCATGGCCAGATTTTTGTGTGAACTTAAGTTTGTATTTCTCTGTGATAAATGCTAAGAGTGCAATTGCTGGTACATTAGTTGTATGTTTAATTTTTTAAGAAACTGCCAAAGTGTTTTCTAGATTGGCTGTACTGTTTTACTTTTCCACTGCAGTGTATGAGTGGTTTCTCTTCATTCTTGTTAGCATTTGATGTTGTTTCTATTTTTTATTTTAGCTATTCTGATAGGTATGTAGTAATATCTCATTGTAGTTTCAATTTTCATTTCTCTAGTGGCTAATGTTGTTGAACATCTTTTCTGTGCTTATTGCTGTATGTATATCCCCTTTGGGGAAATGTGTCTTCATGTCTTTTGCCCATTTTCTAATTCAATTGTTTGTTTTTTATACTATTAAATTTTGAGGGTTCTTTACATATTCTAGATACTAATCTTTTGTCATATATGTGGTTTGCAGTATTTTCTCCCAGTCTGTAGCTTGTCTTTTTTATCCTAACAGGACTTTGCAGAGCAAAAGTTTTAAATTTTAATGAAGTCTAATTTATCAGCTTTTATTTTTGTGGATTATGCTTTTAGTGTCAAGTATAAGAACTCTTTGAAGACTTTCTCCTATTTTTTCCTAAAAGTTTTCTAATTTTATATTTAAAGTTTGTGATCCATTCTGAGCTAATTTTTTACAAGGTGAATGATAGCCTTCCAGAATTATGTCTATGTATTAGTATTTTATTTTATTCATTTATTTATTTTTTGGGGTGGCTGGCCAGTACGGGATCTGAACTCTTGACCTTGGTGTTATCGGCACCATGCTCTACCAAGTGAGCCAACCAGCCAGCCCTATATTATTATTCTTAATCAGTCCTTAGTTTATATTTTATGTGACTAGTAGCTTTAAGATTGAGTAATTAATTGAATAATCTTATTGGTCTTCATTTGGGGTCTTAGTTCTTTGAGTGTCCCTTTAGTGTTAAAAAACACCAAATGAATAGATAAGAGGGACCAATGGCCCGTATTCGTGATAAGGAGGGCTATGCCTCTGAAGTAATGAATCAGTTTAATAGATATTTATTGAGTGCCTACTATATTCTGGGCCCTAATTTGACATTGAAATATGAGCTATGTCGTGGAGAGGTAACAGTGCAATACGGAAGAGACAAAACCGATTTGTTTCAATGTATTGTGTTAAGTGTTGAGAGTCAGTTTAGTATGATGGCTAAGAACCCAGACTCTAGATTCCATCAACCTGGGATATGGTCCTGGCTCTTTCACATCCTGTCTGGGTAGGGCAACCTCAACTAGTCTTTAATTTCCTTATTTATGATAAGTATATTATAAGGTTTTTGTGAAGATTGATTAATACATATAAAGCTCTTAGCATAAGTGCCTGGCACAGAGTAAGCATCATAAATGTTTGCTGCTGTGACAGTGGTGGAGGTGGAGGTGGAGATGGTGGTAGTGGGGGAAGAGGAGTTACTGTCAGTGTAGGCAAAGGACATTGTTTTAGTACAGAGAGGAGCACTTATTCCAGAGGAGAATACTCCTGAACTGAATCTAAAAGAATGACAGTTTGCTAATAAAAGAAAAAGCATGAACAAAGGTATAGAAGCATGAAAGATTGTGTATGAGTATATGTAGACAGCAATTTGGTTTTAATAGAACTTGGTGAAGGAATTGGAAAGAAATAGGTAGCTGATGAGACTGGAGAGGTGGGCAAGGGCCAGGTCATAGAAGGCATTGGGTTGGACTTTTTTCTAAGCAGAAGGGAGACGTTGATAAGTTTAAAGCGAGTGAGTGGCAGAGCCAGATTTGCATTTCTAGCAAACTCACTCTGCAAAGTGTGAGGGTGCTTGGAAGTGGAGGGAGTAACCAGGAGAAGCTCTTTCATAGGTTAGTTGAGAGATAAAGGGCAGAACCAGGGCCATAGTGACTGAGAATGCCATGTCATTCTTGTTCTTATTTCCTGTGTAGTAAACTCCAGTCCAGTTCAGGGCTTCTTTTGGAGAGAACCAGGCCAGAGTTGGGTTATAGGGTGTATGAGAGTAGAAGCTTATCCATGAGGACTCTACAAATTCTACCTGTAATTAGCTAAATAGTTTTTCTGGCTCAGATGATTACAGTTCAATGGTCCCTTCTGTTCTTGTAGGCTAGATGTGATTTCTTAACTATACCTAAGTCACATATATTCACCTAATGGAAAATTCACATTCTTCTCTCTCTCTTTCTCTTTTTTTTTTAAGTTAAGGCACCAATGTGGAAGAAGAGTGAATAAAGTAAAAGAAAAAATTACCAGGAAGTAGATCTAAAAAAGAGGAATTCAGTTCTAACCTACATTTTACTAAAAGCTTAACTTTATTTTCTGTATCTATTTTTCCTCCTTGTTTATGAATATTAATCATAATTTTCTTCTAGAATAAAGCAAAAAGGTAAAAATACATAAAGAAAGAATTCAGTTCTGTCATAATCACTATTTTATATCCTCTTATGCTTACTACTGTGTGAAATAGACTTCCAACTGGTCAAATTTCCCACAGTGCAAATCCTGTGGAAAAGAGTTGAATCCATTTTGTAGACTTGGTTTGAAAACACAACTTGTTAAAGATATATGAAAGGAATAAATTAATATTTTTGCATATTTTGAAGGATGGTGCTATTTCGGTGCATGTGCGTGTGTATATTTCACATACCGTACTATTCACCCATTTAAAATATACAATTTAATGGTTATTTGTTTCTTTAACAGGGAAAAAAAGATGTGACCCAGATATTTAACAACATCCTGAGAAGACAGATAGGCACTCGGAGTCCTACTGTGGAGTACATTAGTGCTCATCCTCATATCCTGTTTATGCTCCTCAAAGGGTAGGTGCATGGTTTCCTTTCAAGTAGGTTTGAGTTTAAAATAGTTGTTAAAAGTACATAGCAGTAGCCTCATTTGAGATATGATAAGTTCCCTTTTAGAACTGCAGTAACGGTATTTGCCATGCTTGAGGTCAACATTCCAAATCTCTGCTCTATGATTGCCTCGGCTGCAGCAAAATCCTTTCTTTGCACCTTTATGTTTCTAAATGTTATGTTTCCATTTACTGCCTCTCTTTCTTCCACTTTTCTGCTATCTCTGTCTCTTCCTATTATGGTATTGTTTTTGCTTTTCAGTTCCTCTCTGTCTCTCTCTCTGTCTCTCTCTCTCTCTGGTCCTAAGAAGACAAGTATAGGTATAAGAATTCTTGCAGTAGCCAAGGTGACATACTTCTACATGGGAACAGAAAAAATATTAAATAAATATTACTATATGTATGTGGGGCTATCAGGGAGCCATAAAACTGAAGTTAAACTAGATAGTAGAATCCCTGATTATTTTTTTTAATGCATACTCACTTATAAATGTTTCTTGGGCATTTTGAGGCTATTCTAAATCCTAAAGACTAGAGCTCTGGGTGTAAGGAAGACTTGTGGACAGTAAACTATCTTCTTCCTCTCCTTCCCTTTCTTTCTATTTCACCATCTCAAACTAGCATGGTTCTTTTTATTTTATTGTATTCCTGTGTTCAATTCTCGTGTGTCCAGTTCCTTCCTTGTACACTTTCAAACATTCAGTTGTATCAAAATAATACATAACACATAGTTTAAAAATCAGATAAATCAACAAACAGCAGCTGTTTGCCTCTTCCTTTTCCATCCCTCAATCCTGTTGCCCAAACGCAACCACATTCATCTTTTTTATTTGGTCATTTGTTTATTTGTTCTTTTTTTTCTTTTTAATTTAATTTTATTTTATTAATATTATTTTTTTACATTCTATGATGTTGTTGCAGAGTAGTTGGGAGGGAGAGGGAGAGGGAAAAGGGGAAGGAAATAGGATGGAAGGAGGAAGGAGGAAAGGTGGGATTGAGGCCTGTGGCGCCCCCCACATTCCCACTCATCCCTTTTTTCATCATATTTTTACCTCTATTTTTTTTCTTTTTTCTTTTTCTGGCAGCTAGCTAGTATGGGAATCTGAGCTCTTGACCTTGGTGTTATAACACCACGCTCTAACCAAGTAACCAAGTGAGATAACCAGCCAGCCTTACATTTGCCTCTATGTTAACAATTAATGGTCATATACTAACTTTTTCATTTACCAGTTTTAAACAATATTTTTGATGTGATGGACCAGATGATAATTTAGTTTTTTACTGCCACCATTACTCCATTTCCTTCCCCTTATCCTCCCAATATACTTTATCACAATTTTTAATTTTATTGATGATCACATTTAGATTACTATGAGTATGTAGTTATTCTTCATTGTTGAGCAAAATAGTGTACTGTGATTACTTTGGTTTTTGGTACAGTTTTTAGTGGAGAATTGTGTCTTCAATTCTGGAAAGGCAAATATACTTGTATTATATATTAGTTAGGGTATGCTAAACTTCCCTAACAAATAGACCCCCAAATGGAGTGGCTCCACCACAAGACGAGTGTATTTCTCACATAATAGTGCAGGGCAGATGTCATAGGTCAGCAGAGGATTCTGCCATCTTCAACACATGCTTTCTAAGATTACTTTGTTCATGGCCATTTCAGCCCACAGGAAGATGAAAATATATAAGAGCATTTATATGTTTGGAGAATGACAAGAATTCTGGTGCGGCTGGAGCCCACCGTGAATGTGAGGGAGGGATGGGGGATAAAGCTGGAAAGGCTGAGACCAGATTATGAAGAGTCTTCCATGCCCTACAAAGGAGTTCAGATGTCATTCTGTAGGCAACATGGAGTCACCCAAGGACTAGACATGATGAGTTCTGGTGGCAGTGTGGAAAGCGGCGGCAGGAAGAGGAGGGAAGCCGAGATTCTAGCTGGAAAGAACCCAAAGAAGAGATAATTAGGGCCAGAACCTTACTGGTGATATTGGGAATGAAGAGAGTGACTGTTTTAAAATCATTTCATTTTCTTCAGATTTAAAGAAATACATATTTATTATTAAAAAACTTAAACATTTTAGTGGTGTGTAATATAAGAAGGGAGTGCGTCTCATAATCCCTCCGAAAGAAACCATTGTCAACAATTTGGGGACTACTCTCCTGGTTTTTATTCTCTATTGTAATGATTCATCTTCTATTTTTTAACTCAAACTTTTAACCCATTCCTTCACATCCTGTTTTGTAGATACCATTTATTGATTGCTTTCTATGTGCTGAGTAGTGCGTTCAATATCTTTACTTATGTTATATTATTTAATCCTTCCAATAATACTGTGAAGACTAGGTATTATTCTTATAATATTACAGATGAGGAAATTGAAACTCAGAGAGAGTAAGGATATTGCTCAAGGTTTACAGCTAATAAGTGACAGAGCCAAGTTTTCAACCCAGATCTGATTCTAAATCCTGTTTTCTCTGCCATTAACATATCCTTAAGGAGATTTGAGGATCATTCAGATGTGAAGGGACAGGGAGTTGTTGATGTTCCTGAGGATGGGGTAGACAATAAGAAACTCTAACTGGAACAGTTGCACTGTGATCAGTTTTACCTATTACCATTTCTTAGGTTAGCTCGGAATGCTAGAGATTTAACCCTTTGTTAAAGGTCAGAATTTTTACTGAGTCATCTCTTGTGAAGTTAATTGAAGACTTAGCACATAGCTTGACTGGTACATTTTTATATCAAACAATAATGTTATTTAAGGGATAGCTACATGCTATATTGAACCTAAGTCTAACCATAAAGAATGTAAGACTGAAAGAAACTGATACTTGTCTATCGAGGAGAATCATCTGGATATGTGATGGAAAACATGGTGTAAAGGATTTGGAGCCCAAGCTTTATGAAAGATTATAAATAAGGACTTGCTTAATCTAAATGAATTTGTCTGGCTCAGGCAAATGACATTCCAGGGTACTGAGAGAAGGTGAGAATGAGGTCACTAAACTGCTCTTAGTAATCCACAAAGAATCGTGGCCAGTGGAAAATGTTCCAGAAGTCTAATGTTAAAATCATAAATTTCTCCCAATAATTCAATTTTTTTTAACTTAAAAAAACCCCATGTACCCACATTAACAACAATCAATATTTTGCTGTGAGTGTTTCATCTATCTCCCCAACACCCCTGCCTTTTTTGGAGGCTAGAATATTTTAAAGCAAATCCTAAAAACTTCAAAAAGCATTTAAAAAAAAAAAGAATTTTATATAACCACAATGTTATTATTATTACACTTAAAAATTAACAATTCCTTAATAACTAATATTCAGCCCATACTCAAATATCTTTGATTGCTGAGTGTGTGTGTGTGTGTGTGTGTGTGTGTGTGTGTGTGTATCTTTTCATGGTTGGTTTTTTCAAATAATGATCATAGCAAGGGTCACTTATTGTATTTGGTTGTAATTTCACTTAAGTCAAAAAAAAGTTTAAGTCCCTTTTCATTACGAACAGTCCCCCACCTCCCTGCCCACACACACATTTTTGTGCTTTTGACTTGTTGAAAAACTGATTGAGTATCCTACAGAGAGTTCTCCATCTGGAGTTGTCAGATTGCTTCCTCATGGTCTCATTTAACTTGCTCAATTATGCCTATATTTCTAGACTGAAGGTTATGTTTAAAGGCTTGATTAGATTCAAATTCAGTTTTATTTTGGCAATTTTATTTTGTAGGTGATGCCATGTAGTTCATATTTTACACTTCAGAAAGCATACTTTTAGTAATGCTAAGATTGAGCTGTGGGTTCAAACGGTGATAGTCTGATCCATTGTAAAATTTCCCATTAGCGTACTCTTGTTTTACCATCCATTGATGAACACTGCCAGATTCAGTCATTTCATAAGGGGTTACAAAAAGCTAATTTTCAAATTCTGTCATTCCCTGTGTATTTATTGGCCAGAGTAGTTCTCTATAAAGAGAATAACTTTCTTTCACCCACCGCAACTATTAGATTACTCTGAAATACAATTCATACCAGAGAGGCAGAATAAATGCTTAGTTCTTTTCTTTTAATTATCAGTGTAGAGAATAAGAAGTTGTTCTAGGAACTTGTTTTGGTGTCCAATGCATTGTGTTTCATTCCCTTTCTCTCTCTCTATACACACATACACACACACACACATACCCGTTTAGTATCTTATGAACTAATGGATTTAATGTTTTCCCTATGTCTTATATAGTTGCATACATTTTTCTTTTTTTTTTTTTTTCCTTTTTGTCTTTTTTCGTGTCCGGCAAAGGATCACAACCCTCAGTGTCGCGCCCACACCGGACCGGGACCGGCAACGGGATCGCAAACCTCGGTGCTGCGCCCGCACCTCGCTCAGCCAGTGAGCGGGAACCGGTCTGTATGTGGGATCCGAACCCTCGGCGGGAGCGCCGCCGCACTCCCAGGTGGCACTGTAGCAGTGTGGCACTGTAGCAGTGTGCCACCGGGCCGGCCCTACATTTTTCTTTTTAATGCTCAACTGACCATCTATGTCCATCTATGTTATCTACTTCTGAGTGATATCTTTTGATATCATCAAAATAGTTTGTGAGAGCTTCCTTGCTTTCTGGTGCATTCAATGTACAATGTACGTTGTATAATTCAAAATGTACAGTGCATCAACTTGTACATTTCCTGACACAGACCTGGAATTTCTACCAAGAACCTTGGTTCTTTTTAGTGAGGAATAGTTCTTAGAGACTACAATCTGATGTGAGGGGTGCTCATTGACATTGGATTGTTGTTACTTCTAGGGCTTTTCATTGAACAGAGTTAACTCGTTATATTTAAAGTAAGCAAATATTTCCAGATTAGAAGCAAACCTTCTTGACTATATTGAAAAAGCCAAGTGTTTGTTGAATGGCATTTTACAAAAGTTTTTGAAGTACTTCCTGGCGTTGTTTCCTTCCAGCAATAATAATGTCATTTCTCCCCTTACATAATATAATCTTTGTTCTTAAGTTGAGATATTCTTGCACAAGATCTTTCTTCTGGCCATTTTCTGTGCAGTGATTACTGTAACTAACTGCTAGCTGAGACAGTTGCTCTTACATTTTGGCTTTTATTAAATTTGAAAGGATGCGTTGATTTGCTGTCATTGTTTGAAGGAGAATGCATATATAGTAGTGTGCCTTTTTCATACTGGCAATTGATTATAGTCCAGACTGTATGATCCAAACTACAAATCAGGAAGGAAAATGTAATTTAATTCTATAAAATAGTAGTTCAGCATTCATCGACCTGCCATCGGTTAGTCACTGTGGGGAACACAGAGTGAATAGTCATTGTCCCTGCCATCAGGAAACTTATCCATAAGTAGAATAGATTACATAAGATAAATACTGATTATTTACCAGACCTAAGGATATTAATGTAGTGGGATTTCAAACTTAATAGAGGCTTAATATATGGAGCACTTGTTTATATAGTAAGCAATAACCTATCAAAAATATTCCAGAGGAATATTTTTTTAAATCGTCTCTTGTTTCCCAAGAATTAATCATCAGTGCATCAGAGATGGTTCCAATAAACTTTATCAAATGAAAGAAAAAAGAGAACTAATTATACCCAAAAGTTGGAGTGGAAACTTTTTATAGGTGGTCTCAGTTTGGAAATAGAATTACAAAATGGGAAAATGTTGGCTAGAGATCATACATCTTTTTTGCATAAGCCAGAGTTTGACTCTCATTAGAGCCCTCCAGTATTAAGAAATTTAGTCAGAGTTTGAAGTTCATTAAATTTATTGTATGCCTGTTTTGTGAAAAACATTACGCTAGGCACTCTTTCATTATTGGGGTGGGGATGGGGGGAAATAACAATAAATAAAACATAGAGACCAAATGGAGATAGGTAGGAGAGGAGAATGTAACAGGATAAGTAGAACATATCCCTAGCAATTAAGTTGTTAGTAATGAGGTGAAGAAAACAGATTTATAACAATTTACTACAATGTAGCATAATACAGAATGAAAAAAAAGTGCCAAATGTTAGAGACAAGCTATTGAAGGAGTGTAAAGGAAGGAGAGAGTAATCCTGAATGATGGGTGATTCGGAAAAACTCAAAGGAGGAGGTGGCATTTAAACTAAGCCTTGAAAGATGAGAGAGTCTTAGTGGTAGAAACATAAGAAGAAGGGCATTCCAGTTGAGGGAACAACATACTACAGGGAATTGGGGAATATAATTGAAGATGAAATGGAAAAGTTAAGTTTAGGACCAAATTATGAAAGTTTACAAATATCTTTCTAATAACAGATTTTGATTGTCTGTCCCTTAGGTTTTTTTTTTTCTAGGCCGTCAGTCTTTATCTTATACTCTCTTAAGTACTCTATCAATAAGTGACAGTGTTTTTCTTCATATTTCAGAAAATATACCCCTCTTTACAACATCTTTAACAATAGCCCACCTTTTAATTCTTTCATGTGTGCAGTAGGCTAACTTAGAAAATCTTCTGTTAAGATAAATTACTAACAGTATAAATTGGCATTTCTTATATTCTACAAAGAATAATATGTATCTGAATGTATTAGCATTTAATGTTACTATGAGTTATTCAGGGAATATTCAAATGATATTTGTGAATATCATTTAGCATGAATAGACAAATATGAATAAATACCAGTGTATCATTGTTTGCTATTTCCCCTACTGTATTTGTAAGTTTGATGTTGCAGAGTAGCCTATTTCCTGAATTTTGGGCTAAATGTATAGTTTCTAAATCTTATCACAAACTGGAATGTAACTCAGACCTAGATCTATTTTGATGTTGAATTTGACATTTGAGAGATTGTTGTTAAATTGGAAATGGAACAGATCTAGTATGCCAGTCCTGAACTGTTTCCTGCAGTAGGTATTGGGTTTTTCTAGTAGTGTTTGCTATGAACCATAATTCCACTTCATGATTTCAGTGAGTCAGTCAGTCCAGAGCTATTTATTTATTAGTCATCTATTGCATGCAAATCATATATTTATATATATCTCCTCTACCTTTTTCCTGAACGTCACATGGGTGTATTCCACTGCCAAGGAGAAATCAATAGTTAGATATCAGCCATCTCAAAGTTAACACGGTCAACGACAAACTCTTTTTTTTTTTTGTCTTTTTTCGTGTCCGGCAACGGATCGCGACCCTCAGTGTCGCGCCCGCACCGGACCAGGACCGGCAACGGGATCACAACCCTCAGTGTTGCTCCCGCACCTCGCTCAGCCAGTGAGCAGGAACCGGTCTGTATGTGGGATCCGAACCCTCGGCAGGAGTGCCACCGCGCTCCCAAGCGGCGCACTGTAGCAGTGCGCCACCGGGCCGGCCCCAACGACAAACTCTTAATTTCCTCATGAACCTGGTCCTCTATTAGCTTATTCATCTTTTGTTTTGTTTTGTTTTGTCTTTTTTTTGAGACCGGCCGCACCGTGCTCAGCCAGTGAGCGCACCGGCCATCCCTTTTTTTGTCCTTTTTGAGACTGGTCACACTGCGCTCAGCCAGTGAGCGCTGTGAGCGTACTGGTCATCCCTATATAGGATCCGAACCCGCGGCGGGAGCGCTACTGCGCTCCCAGCGCCGCACTCTCCCGAGTGCACCATGGGCTCAGCCCAGCTTATTCATCTTAATGAATGGCACTACCATCTACCCAGTTATTCAAGCCTGAAACATAGGAATCATTCTTGAATCCTCAATTTCCAAATTTTATTCCCCAACCTACCTCAGCTACAACATCAGCAAGGCTTGTTGACTCTTCCTCCAAACATTGGCCCACAGTCATCTGTTCTATTACTACTACTCCAGCCCAAGCTGCCATCACCTCTCCTGGGCTTGTGCTCTTCTTCCTACCTAGTCTCCCAGCTTCACTCTAGCTCCCCAGCCCATTTCTTGCTGCTTTACAATACATTCTCCAAAGGAGTCAGAGTGATCTATTTTAAAGCGTAAGTTAGGTCATGTTAATTTCTTGCTTCAAACTCTTCAAAGGCTTCCCTTCACACTTGAAATAAAACCAAGCTGCTTATCTTGGCTTACAAAGCTGTATCTGATCTGGCCCCTGCCCTTGTCTCCAATCTTGCCTCATTCACACCACTCACTACTCTTCCCCTACATTCCAGCCACACTGGCCTTATTTCACTTCCTCTAACTTACCAAGCTTGTTCTTGCCTCGGAGAATTTGCACAATTAATTCCCTTGTCTGGAATGCTTTTTTCCTTCCCTTCAATCTAAAGTAAAGTAAATTAAGTTGTCACTCATATACACACATACACACACACAAACAAACAAAATTAAGTAGTCACACTCTATAACATTGCCTATTTTATTATCTTTAGTTTTCACAGTACTTCTCAGTATATGAATATGAAATTATTTTTTCTTTGTTTATATTCTCCCTCCTCCCCCCTCCAGACACACTCTTGCTAAAATATGAAGGCTCTGACAGCAGTGACCTTGTCATGTTGACTGTTCTATCCCCAGCATCTGGAATAGTGCCAGGCACATAGTAGATATTCAGCAGGTATTGAACGAATGGTGTTTGAATGAACTGTGACAAATGGTATCTGTTTCCATTAAAAGCAATATTGAAATGGTTCTTTTGATACCATTAATATCATTTTGTTAATAAGATAACAGAGTTCTCCATTTCTCTCCTGTTTATGCTTTAGATATGAAGCCCCACAGATTGCCTTACGTTGTGGGATTATGCTGAGAGAATGTATTCGACATGAACCACTTGCGAAAATCATCCTCTTTTCTAATCAATTCAGAGATTTCTTTAAGTATGTGGAGTTGTCAACATTTGATATTGCTTCAGATGCCTTTGCTACTTTCAAGGTAATTTTTTTTTCTGAATCATTTAATTAAAGTCAGTTGTCCTCTGAAGAGACAATTTAATTTTTTTTTTTCCTTTTTGTCTTTTTTACTGACCGGTAACGGGATCGCAACCCTTGGTGTCGCGCCCGTACCGGGGACCGGCAACGGGATCGCAACCCTCAGTGTTGTGCCCGCACCGCGCTCAGCCAGTGAGCGGCAACCGGTCTCCACATGGGATCCGAACCCTCGGCGGGAGTGCTGCCGCGCTCCCAAGCGGCGCACTCTCCATTGCGCCACTGGGCCGGCCCAGAGACAATTTAATTTTAAAAGCAAAAACTTCTGTTCCGTAGGCCTGAATGTAGCCAGCCATGTATAATGTGAATCATAAGAGGCATTAGTAAATAGAATAAACTCTATGAGGCCAGTCTGTCAAGTTGTGGAAAAACAACTCAAAATATTTGTCACAAGCTCATATGGAATGAATTACAATATATACAGTTAAGTGACAAAAGGAACATGTACTGCTGTGTATAGCATGCTGTCATATATGTTAAAAACGGATTAAAGGGTGTAAACTCCACATAAGGTGTATATGCATTGAATACCTCTGGAAGTATATATAGGAAACAGCAACAGTGGTTACCCCCAGGGAAAGGAACTAGGCAGTGAAGGGAGATAAAGAATTATGTCTTGGAATTTGAAGGACTTCACATTGTTTTATCAGTGTAATTTTTAAATTTCTACATGGTGAAACAGTACTAATAAATTATATTGTTTTTTCATAATCATCTATATTTTTGTCATCTATTATCTACTTTGTCATTACATAGGAAATAAATTTTATCTAACTTAATTTTTTTTTTTCCTTTTTGTCTTTTTTCATGTCCGGCAACGGATCGCAACCCTCAGTGCTGCACCCGCACCTCGCTCAGCCAGTGAGCGGGAACCGGTCTGTATGTGGGATCCGAACCCTCGGCGGGAGCGCCACCGCACTCCCAAGCGGCGCACTGCAGCAGTGCGCCACCGGGCCGGCCCTCTAACTTAATTTTTTAACATTAAAAATTTTTTAAATTGTGGTAAAATATACATGAAATTTACCATCTTAATCTTTTTGTGGGGGAGAGGGGCAGCTGGCTGGTATGGGGATCTGAACTCTTGACCTTGACCTTGGTGTTATAATACCATCTCTAACCAAGCGAGCTACATGGCCAGCCATAACCATTTTTTAGTGTATAGTTTAGTAGGGTTAAGTATATTCACAGTGTTGTGCAATCTATCTCCCAAACTTTTTTATTTTGCAAACCTAAAACTCTATCTCTCTACACCCATCAAACAAGAAATCCCCATTTTCCCTTCCCTCCAGCCCCTGGCAATCAATCTTTCTACTTTCTGTTTCTATGTGTTTTACCACCAAATATTAGAAAATAATGTAGCTAATTTGCAAACAAAAATACCAGAATTTATATATCCAATGAGTGATGTTACCTTTAAGTTTTCTATTGTAGAAAGCCATTTACTTATGGTTATGATCCAGCCATTATTTTTTGAAATTGGATCAATATCTGTGGCATGTTTATTTTTTCAGTAATGGCAAATCTTCATCCTGTGAGGATAGTTAAAAGTTTTGGAAACATGGGATGGCCGGTTAGCTCAGTTGATTAGAGCATGGCCTTGTAACACAAAGGTCAAGGGTTCAGTTCCCATTACCAGCCAGCCACCCCCCCAAAATTTTTTTTTAAGGTTTTAGAAGCAAAAAGTTATTTGACGTCCAGGTTAGTGTATAAAGTGGGTGGTCAGGTTAGCTAGAACTGCTTTTAGTTTTGGCAATGATAATAATTATAATGATAAAAATAAGTTTTAAGTTGACTAAAATAGAGTCTAGTTTTCTTCAGTGTCTACCAAACTGTCTCTGAAGGCCATTTAAAAAGAGGAATTCCAAAAATATTATAAGCTCGTGATATAATAGCATCACTGAAAAAAATAGGTTTTCAGGTTGGCTATAAAGTAGATAAGACTTATATAAATGTATATATTCAGATTTATTTCTTAAAAAGCATTTCAGCAATTTAATTGTTCCGTTTGCGTAATTTCAAATTTCTTTTTTTTCTGGGTATAAATACATACTTTTTTTTTTTTTAACAATTTTTACTTAATTGTAACCTATGTATGACTTTTATTTTTTAATATTATCTTAAATACATATTTCAGCAATATTGACATAGTTCATATACTAATATTAATATATATTCTAATCTTATTACTTTATGGATGGACTTTGAAAGTTGCTTATGACCTGGATGATAAATAGCTCTTTTTAATAGCTCTCTGGAGGTGAAAAAAGGGGAAAGCAGTGGTTTGCTGTGCTGAAAACTACTTATTATCTGTAGACTAGGAAATCACGCAGCCCATTCTGAGAAGGTGCCTTAAATATGTTAAAAGGTATATTAGCTCACATGGTTGCAGAAAGTGTGAGGTTGTGTCAGGGAGTAGAAGGAGACAATAAAGGGCCAGAGATTTGAAGGAGCAGAAGGAAGGGGGTGCTAAGGAGAAGAAGAACGTCTGGTGAAGGGAAAGGGACAGAGCATAGTCCGCGTAGAGGTGGGCAGTGAGAGGACCTTGCTGTGATGGAGAAAAGACAGAAAGGTGGTGAGTGGACTCCACCCTGACGAGCTTGGGGAGGCAGGTCTGGGAAGCTGCCTAGGACACAATCTATAAAGGCAACCAAGACATCCCTGGAAATATAATGAGCTGAGGACAATTGAATTGACAGGAACTCCTGTCAGGGAAAAGACAATATGAGATGGCTGGGAATATTTGGAAGCCACTTGGGGTGGAGAGGCCAGATTCCAGGGCATGCTTGAGCAACAACAGATGGTTGTTATAGCTGCTTGTGAGGAGGGTGAGTCTAGTCAACTGTGGCACTCTTGTTGTTATAAACAGGGTGTGCAGATTTGAGACCAGTGCTGAATTGCCCGAAACGATAGAGAGAGGAGCTGCAGTGCCATCATGTCCCAAAAGCCTCGGCCACACCTGCAGTAAAAACGGTCATACCTAGCATCTGGGTTTGAAGGGAGGGCGGTCCCAGCCTGCTCAGGTGTTCCACATGTGTCCATCCAGCCTCCCAGGAAGAGCAGGGAGGAGAGGAGGCTGGGATAGACACAAAAGTGCAGGGCAAGAAAGAGAAGGGAACAAGGGGGATTAAAGAGAGGGAGAGTATGAAGAAGACGAAGACGCAGATTAAGGAAACAGAAAACTAGTGAGAACGGCCAAGAGGAAAGGAAGGAAAAGAAAGGCAGGAAAGGCCTGGGAGCAAACTCCAAAGAGAGTTGACTGGTGGGTAGAGGTAAGGGGAGCGAGGGCAGCAAACACGGCTGTATGCTTAGAGGGGCGTGAAGTCTCAGGAGCCTCATCTGTTTCACAGGCGACTTAATCTTACCCAGTAGAACAAAACCTGTGCAGAGGCTACAGGTGAACCCCCATGGAGGGTATATCCAGAACACATGGTGAGAATAGGCTTCAGTTGCATCAAATATGAAGAATGATTTTTAATACAAAGGATGATTCCTTTTCTTTCTAGCAACATGGCTGTGCCTAAACAACTAAGGAAGTTGTTTTCTAATAATAGATACTATAGTCCCAGTTTTCCTCCTTTTTTATCAGATGGCTCTTTGCTGTCATGGAAACCAGTCAGTTCCTTTTCAAAAAAACCATAGGTAAGACTTCACATAAGTGTAAACATAGAAAAAACTCTAATGGAGGAGAAAAGCAAATAATGGACATGTATTTTTGAAAATTTTCCCAGAGCTTTCTCAACATTTAATAAAATACATGTACTTATAATAATTCGTTGCTATCATATATTCAGCCAAATTTGATTTTAACAATGGTACTGAATCACAAAAATAAATTATGACGTTTTGATTTGTACTTCAGCTTATCTTCCATTGAACTTAAGTCAGTTCCTTGAAAAACTAAATAATCAAGAAAGTTTTCTAGTATACTACCGGTATTGGAAACACCAATTTTCTATATTTTACCAACATGCTTATGGTTAATGTGTAACAATGACCAGAAATCACTTTTTTTAACTACTAGTTTCAAAGGGTTTGTTTGTTTGGTTGGTTGGTTTAGTATTATTTTGGCTTTGGCTTTAATTTTTTTTTAACCTCTTTAGACTCACCCTTTTTGTTTTGAGCTCCAAGCTGATTGTTGCCCAGTTTAAACATTAATGTTTTAACATTGTTGATTTATGTTTTTACCATGGTATTGTCTACAAATAGCCCTTTTCCAAAAAATATTTCTGAAAACAATAATCTCTTTCATTCTTCCCTCTAAAAATATCAGAATAGAAGTGATTTGAATTCCATCTCTGTCACCTGATTAGCTCTATGTCCTTGAGCCAATTAACCTTTGAGTTTCATTTTCCTCATCTGTGAAATGAAGAAAATAATCCCTGATTTGCAGAGTTGTGAAGATTAGAAATAGTATTTGTAAAGTGCTTGGTACATTCCCCAACACACAGTAAACCCTTGCTATGGCATCGGTCACTGGCCCATCAGTCTCATGTGCCTGCAGTTGAGAGCCTCTGTTACTCCACCCCAAGTTTCTCCCAAGCAGAATTCACTAAAAATATCAATATCAGATTTTTTTTAGCATAATACTTAGACTATGCCAAACTTAACCCTGTCAAAATAGAATTGTTAGGAGGTAGGATGAGTGAGTACACTATTACAAATAATTTTTTAAAATTTTAAATTCTTTAAAATTTGAACTTTATTTTTCTTTAAAACTTTCTGCTTTTTCCTTCTTGGGTAGGATTCTAGCTAGTTTTTTGTGGGGGGTTTTCCCTCACTTAGTTATATGACCTATAATAATGCAGCAGTTATATTTGTCTCTGTATTATGTGCATGTAAGCATGCATGTATGTATACATGATATAATTCTTCCAGTTTTGTGCATAGATTTATTTTGTACATAAATTTGAGGGTATATCTATGTATATATCTTATATACACACTCAAGTATAAATAAGTGTGTATCTGAGTGAGAGAAAGCATATCATTTGTTGGCTGTATTAATCATATGTACGCTGAAGGAATTCTACCCTACCATATTTTTCTACTATTGGATTTTTAAGTATTTCAAGTTTTTTTTTCCTTTGGAATTTGAAATTTCTGGTTCTAACAGAACTCCTTGCTGATTCATCTTTCTTTGGGATAACAGTAATACATAACACAACCTTTCCAGGCAGCACTGATCTGTAAAGTGCTCTTTCTCCATCACCACGTGTGCTGGGCCTAGGAGAACCCACAGGAGAGCTTAGTCTGCACTTTCAAGTCTGACCATTGTTGTAACAGGTAGAGAATTCCCATAGGTACAGCAATTGAGTGTCTTCTGCAGCCCATAAAGAGAACCCCTTCTACCTTGGGTCAGCTCAGGAAATCTCTGATACTGCTCAGGGAGTTCTTGTGAGATTAGGGTGCCTGAAACCAAGGTTTCCTAAATATCCTCTTAGAAAAAGATTAGGAATCCCAAAGGTTGCTGTGAACTGTTTTATTCCCTCAGGAGTACTCTTTTGTTACAGGAACTAGTTTGAATCAAGACCTCAGACAGGCCGGGAATGGAACCCGCTTTAGAGGGGTTTCCCATTTTAAAACTCCAGTTCCAGAACAGTACTGAGTGCTCTGCTCCACTGGGAAACAAAAGCACCACATTTCCACTGATAGGCCCAGTGGTCATTCAAGTTGTGTGATGATAGGTAATAGGAAATTAAGAGCTGGTTGCATTATTTTTGAACATGAAAATTATAGTGTACAATGCTTTAAATATTTTACTTTTTAAAAAAAAATTAAAGTAGAAATAAATGGGTTTTTACCATTGTTGCTGCTTGTCTTTTCTCTGTGAGGTTATGATGTGTGACTTCTGTATGCTTTTATGAGATTTTAATTAAATATGTATTAAAGAATTTATTTTGGAAAACTTAAAAATTCTTGTTATGTTTTTAATTAAATTCTGCATGGTACCTGGGGCAGGGTATTTAGCCTTGAAGCATATAAAAGGAATTAGGTGAGGCTTGTTTTCTTTCAACTTAAGGTGAATTAAGGATATCATTTAGGTGTAAGTTGAAAACAGTCAAACTTTCCTTCATGCTTTTGTTCAGTTTTCTGCAAGTTTATATCTGCAATAAAATAGGGCTACTTGTCTTCAACTTTGAAAGGTACATTGTCCTTCGTAACTTGCACAACACCTCACAGCCTGTTAACCTGAAAACAGGACCATACTGATTTGACACTGTTAAATGTCATTCCTATGCTTCTCAGTATCAGAGGTGCCTTCCTTTTTTTTTTTTTTTTTTTTTTTTTTTTTTCGTGTCCGGCAACGGATCGCAACCCTCAGTGTCACGCCCGTACCGGACCGGGACCGGCAACGGGATCGCAACCCTCGGTGTTGCACCCGCACCTCACTCAGCCAGTGAGCGGGAACCGGTCTGTATGTGGGATCCGAACCCTCGTTGGGAGCGCCACCACTCTCCCAAGCGGCGCACTGTAGCAGTGCGCCACCGGGCCGGCCCAGGTGCCTTCCTTTTTAAAGTGATTAAAAAAAAAAAAAAACGAAGATTAAAATCCTTGAAAAATATGTTAAATTAACCTGTGAAATATGGCTTTGGGCCATTCATAATTCTTTTTTTAAAGAAATGATTAGTTAGGGCCGGCCTGGTGGCGCACTGGAGAGTGCACCACTTGGGAGCACGGCGGCGCTCCCACTGAGGGTTCGGATCCCATGTGGAGACCAGTTCCTGCTCACTGGCTGAGTGTGGTGCGGGCACAACACCGAGGGTTGCGATCCCGTTGCCGGTCCCCGGTACGGGCATGACACCAAGGGTTGTGATCCCGTTACCGGTCAGTAAAAAAGACAAAAAGGAAAAAAAAAAAAAGAAATTATTAGTAATTAATGACATTTGAAAAATATCATAAACTTTATCTGAATATTTGTTATATCATAATCACAATGTAGAGTTCATGGCTTGAAGAAATATGCTATCAACTCATCTTTTAGGTTCTATTTGTTTCACCAAAAATTATTTCTATCACAAATCTAACAACGATATGAATTTAAAATACTAGGCTTAACACTAGGTTTTCATGTTTGTTTTTTTACATGAAACAAATTTGTATTTCACATCTTAAACTAAGGTAGAGATGGAAATAATTTTGTGGTGTAATGAAAATGTTTTTCTGCAACTTTTAGATGTTTCAAATGAAGGAAAAGATTTGTAAAATTTATTGGCTACAATATTGTTTCACTTGATTGTTCTTTTTCCAGGATTTACTAACAAGACATAAAATGTTGGTAGCAGACTTCTTAGAACAAAATTATGACACTGTAAGTAGATGTCATTTTTAAGACTTTACCTCTTTCTCTTTTTCTCTTTCTCCCTTCCTCTTAGATTTATGAGCAATTGCCCCTGTTTATTAGCCACAAGAGAAATCAACCATACTCAACCATACCCCTGATTTGTCTATTTACCTGGAAACCAGGTCATCAGGAACCTTTATGGAAAATTGAGTCTGAGAGAAGGTCAGGGCTTTCTTGTTTTTTACATCTTTTTTTGTTGTGCTTTGGATCTCCAAGAAATGACTAACACCTGCTTGCTTTGATCCTGAGTTGAGTCCCATGGAAGAGCACCCCATCCTTACTAACATTTTACTTGGTTGATAGTTAGTTTTACTTACTAATAGAAATACCAAGAATATTTCTGTCTTCCAACTCCCTTCTCTAAAGGTGAATCCAACTCATCATTTTGAAATTCAGCTGAAATGTCACTCTTCTAGGAAGCTTTCCTTAATCCTACCCCTCCCAAACATATACACACACACACACATATTCTTTCTCTCTTCCTCTCCCCCTCCCATTCCCTCACTTTATTCCCCCACCTTTCATTTTTCACATCATATTACTATGGTGTGTCTGTATTTTTCTGGCTGGCCCTGAGGTCCCTGAGAGGCAGGAACCTTATCTGTAGAATACAGGGGTTCAGAGTACAGTACAGACTTTATAGTCTGCATGCTTGCTTGGCTTCAAGACCCAGTTGCCTCCTTACTAATTGTGTAACTTTGGGCAAATTATTACACCTACTGCAAAATGAAAATAGTAATAATACCTACCTCATAGGGTTGTTGAGGGAGTTTGATAAGATTTAAAGTTTTATAATATGATAGTAAGCCCTCAGTATTACTTTTTATCATTATTACTTGTATCCGTGATACCTAACTCAGTGCTATACATTTGTTGGTGTGCAATGAATGATGAATGAACAGATCCATCCAAGAGCATATATCTGTTGCTAAATATAAAGTAATAGAAACAAGTTTAAAGTAGAGCATAGCACAAATCTAGAAGCAGAACTTTATAAGTTTCGTTCTAGTGTTGGTTCAGGTGCTCTAGCCCAGTAGAAATATAATGTAGGCCACAAATGCAAGCCACTGTGTAACTTCAGATTTCCTAGTTACCACACAAAAAGGTAAAAAGAAACAGGTGAAATTAATATTTATCTATTTAACCCAGTATGTCAAAAATGTTATTTTAATGTACAATCAGTATAAAAATGATTAAGCTGTTTTACATTCTTTTTTTCATACTGAGTCTTGGAATTTTTGTGTGTATTTTCCACTTACAGCACATCTCAGTTTGGACTAGTCACATTTCAAGTGTTTGGTATATAGCCTTGTGTTGGGCAGCACAGGTCTAGATTGACTGTGACGAGGGGACTCTCTCATCATCATCCTCATCATCATCCTAGTGGTGATACCAGCAACAGCTGAAGTTAATTTTTGCTGAGATTTCAGTCATTTTGCATGTGTTGGTTAATATTAATATTCTTTGTATCTCCATTGACCAGCATGTTACCTGACACATGACAGCAGCAGTGTAATATGCCATCTTAAAGGAGCACTTAACTATTTATAATATTGATGCCCAAGCCAAGAAGTTCCAAATGTTTCTGTATATGGTACGATTAGTGAATTTTTCGTCTTCATCCATTAAAAGCAACAGACAATTTCATATGTATACAATATTTAAGGTAATGATAAGTAAATTAAGGTATTTTCTTTATTGTTTGAGATATTTGGCATTGAAATTAAATCATATATATTTACAAAAAGAAACGTATTTTTGATGATAACTTTATGGCTTCATGCCTTCCCAACAGTACACAGTATAGGTAGACAGTTGGGAATATAATAGGCATATAACCAGTGGTGGCCCACAAATACTAATAATAATCCTCAGGAAGTCTCTGAACCATTTATACACTAGACAAAACTTGCCATATGCTCCTAGACTCTGGGAAGATGTGGGATACCCTATCGGTAGTATATCTTCACACATGCAAGTCATGAAGATTTAGCTATGTTTCTATTATTTATAAATTGTTTATTGGTCGTGCTTCACATTAAGATAGCATATGGCAAAATCTATAGGATCAACTACTAATTTTTTCTATAGAATGTGTGAGGTGAATGTGTTGGGCAATAATGCTTTGCATACTGGGATAATACACAACAATTTGAGAGACTAATAAAGTCATTTTCTTTGACTCTTTATTTACTTAATTTTATTTTTGAATCTCTGTGTCACTTCTTGTGTAATTTAGTTGTTTCACAGATGTGAGCCTGCTGCATTGGCCTGAACGTTAGCTCGAGAACTCATGCTCCCTCAAACATTTAATATTTCTTTAGTTTCATATTTCTTTAGCAGCAAACCATGAAACTGGAGCACATGATATATGATTCTAAAAGAATGAAACTGGTAGCTTAAGGAGTCAATCATACCTCATACATGTATGTGCATTTTAAAGTTACAATTACAATTTTTCACAAGGTTTGTCTGATAAATTTAATGATTCACAAAATCCTCCTTGTGTTTTAGGACAGAATAAATTGTCATTTATATAAAAGAGTGTAATTACTGGGATTTTTAAAGTGAGCTACGTTTTTGTTTTTGTTTTATTTTTACTTTTCACTTTCTCATTCTCTTATCAGTAATTATCAGCATGCAAAACTTGCCCTCATTACACACTTGTGCACACACACCCCTCACACTTGGCTCTCGGAAGGCTGGGACTGTTTTCCACCCTCTTCAGTTCCTGACCTCTCTTGCTGTCCGTCCTGGCTGTCCTCACTTCTCCCATTTTATTGGTCTCTGAGTGTGGGGAGGCAGACACTGAGCTTCCCCAGCTGCCAGCACTCTATGTTAGACGGAAAGGCCTAGACTATGATTGATGACTGCATTAGGAAACAGGAGGACCTCACGCACCAGTGTCCCCAGCTTCTGGTAAGAGTGGAAGTGCTCAAGAGAGGCCAGTTGGGATTAGCCTGGCCATCGTGCGGCAAAGCCTGCCTCATTCCTCACCTTTTCACGCTATGGATTTGATAGTCTGATTCTTTATGGGTTGCCAAGTGAAGCCCTATGTGTATTTAATCATTTCCCAAATTTTTCATGGACCCATAGCTACCAGCAAGGCTGCATACACAGATTTCTGTAAAATGGCATAAAATGAATTATCTTGCAACTTTTAATAGATATTTTATTAAAAATGATTAATTGGGAGGACTCAAAACTACAGTTTTTCTAATCAATTTCCAATTTGCAGAACTAAAATAAAATACAAAAAGTTGTCCCTTGCATCTTATCATGTGACCTCCCTGCCCCCAGTATCTTCATGTGTAAAGGAGAGTAGTGAAATGGTGAATCCTCTGTGAACAGTGGTGATCAACTAGGGTCGAGTACATGGTGGTACAAAGCACAGAGGCTGGCCTGCGTGGGGCCAGAGGTTGGGCATTTACTCCTGAAAAGGAAAGCAAGCAAGTCTAATACGTAGAATGCACTGCCACTTTTACACTCTAATGTGTATTTTCTTTCCATTAGATTTTCGAAGACTATGAGAAATTGCTTCAGTCTGAGAATTATGTGACTAAGAGACAATCTTTAAAGGTAATATCACATTTCTTTAAGTTAGAGTCCCCATAAGTTGATGTCTCATTAGCAAATGATTGATCTATTAGTGGACAAGTAAATACAGAAAAATTAAAGTGTTCTTTTTTTTAACTTGAGAAGTATATTTTATGTTATGACTGTACTTTATAGCAAAATAATGTAAGCATCCTGTCTCAAATACTTTCTGGAAGTAACAATATAAATAATAAGTACATGATAAAGTAGAATTTAGAATATTTCTGCTAAGAAGGAAAACCAAACCTAAGCTAACTTAAATAAAACCAAAATTCTCTCCTAGGGGATATTTTCTAGAGATGAAATTACTCTTACAGTGAAATGAAGATAGGAATTACAGTTTATAAAGAAGAATCAGTGAGGGTCCTGTAATTATACTGTGTCTTAAAACAGAATAGGCAGAAAGAAATGATCTATGTTGGGCCAGCCTGGTGGCGCACTGGAGAGTGTGCTGCTTGGGAGCGCGGCGGCGCTCCCACCGAGGGTTCGGATCCATGTGGAGACCGGTTCCCGCTCACTGGCTGAGTGCGGAGCGGGCGCAACACCGAAGGTTGCGATCCCATTGCCGGTCCCCGGTATGAGCACGACACCGAGGGTTGCGATCCCGTTACCGGTCAGTAAAAAAAGACAAAAAGGAAAAAAAAAAAAAAAAGAAATGATCTATGCCTCTTATACTCTGTAAACTCTGTAAACTAGACTTAGGAGGGGGTACTTTTGCAGAGAAGGGGAGAGGAAAAAGTAACAGAAAAAAATATGTAAAATGCAAAAATCAAACTTTCCTTCTAAGTTGCCAAGCACAGTAATCGATAAATTCTTGTTATCTTCATTTTTGAATGGGAAAGCAACATTTTACTATGATATGGCATTTATAGAGTAGAAATGTTATGGGGCTTCTGTTTCATCAGAAGCATTTATCTACCAGACTTGTGACATATTTTCCTAAAGAAGAGTTTTTTTACCATATTTCACTGTCCCATTCTCTGAGCATTCTAGTCAGTCGGCGTTTTACTGTAGGTCATTTTAAATACATCCACCATTTAACACAACATGTTTGAATTATATTTACCACAAAGATTCTGAAATATGAAACATAGTCATTCTCTAACAATTAAAATAATAATATTTTTAAAAATCTCTAACAAAGTTATGTGAGAAGACCACATGATCATATATCTAAAACTATGCTTTTCTAAAAAAACTGCCAGGATTACACTGAAACAGATTCTGGAAAGAGGTTAAAAGATGATGTAGCTAGGTAGAAATGAAAATAAAGTCATACTGGCCAGCTGCCAAAAAAAAAAGAAAAAGAAAGTCAACTGTCTGTTATCTGTAAATAGCTTAGATGGATGATTATTGGGAAGGGGTAGGAGGAAGGTAATAGGACATTCCATTCAGTCAACAAATGTTTTCATGCTCTTATTCCAGACATATGGTGACAGCCAAAAACTTCACATGGACCTCATGTTCTATTGGGGGAGAACAGACAATAGACAGATAAACAAATAAATATATAATTTTCAGGTAGTTTTAGTACTAAAAAGAAAAGTTAAGCAGGGTAAGAGGGCAGAAAGTGATGACTAGGGGGATAGGTGTGTATGTCTGTGCTATAGTAACTGGACCATCAGCAAGTCCTTTCTAATAAAAAATTTGTCTAGATTTTGTCTAAATTTGTGGAAAATTAAATGACTCTGAATACGGGTGTGTGTGTGTGTGTGTGTGTGTGTGTGTGTGTGTGTGTGTGTGTGTGTGTGTAAAACCAAATGGCATTTGCTATTTGCCGTGCCTGTGGAAATTACAGGGAGTCCAATAGAGAGGGCCATGTCATGAGTGGCCTGCTCTCCCTCAGTGAAAAGGTGCCTGGAAGCAGCCATTTGGCCTAGAGGAAGTGACAAAGCTCCTGAGGGGTGGGACCTGGGCTAGAGCTGTATCTCTCCCATCAGCTTCCACTTGGACATTCAAAAGAATGTTATTAGTAGATAAGATTAACTGTTTTTCATCCAGCAGTTTGTATGATGTTCCAGCTTGCTTGTATTATTTTTACATGTCAGAATGATGATATTCACAGAACAATGTATTTGTTTCTAAATATTGGATACATTTAAGCCAAGTCAAGAAATTAAATCTATTTTTCACATGTTTTTGTAAGTTTACCCATGATTTTGCATTAGCCATGACCTGCTTTCCCATGTGTTTGTGCCCTTGCTACTTCCAGCTTTTTACCTGTTAAAGGAGAGGCCAATTTTCAGCCAGTCATTCAACACTCTTTATTGAGTTTCCCCTTTGTGTGAAAATCCATACAAGGTGATCCATCTAGGAAAAAAAACCCATGGTTGTGCTGCTGTCCATGCTGGAACTTGTAGTGACAGAACTGTGCACTGAGCTGATCTCCAGGCAAAGGCAATGACTTCAGAGCAGTGTTACATCCAGGCAGTTTGCTAAGAGCAGATGAAGATAAGGATACATCCTATTTCCACAGCCACGTACCTAAAGAATAGAATTCTTTATTTGTGAAGGGCTCCACAAGGACAGCCTAAACATGCAGAGCTTGTCCATGTTACTAGAGATGGTGGCCTGGAAGGGAATAAAAAACAAAAGTGACAGTGCTCTGAAGGGCCAGCATATAGGAAATCGCTCATAAATTTTCCAAATCTTTCCTCTTTTCAGTGGGAGTCTGTCAGGTACTGGACCAAAGTAGAGAGGTTTGTATGAACTAAGGTGACTGAACCAAATTGGGAGGAAGAAAAGCTGAAGGTCATAGTCTTTAGAATTTATCCTTATACCATTTTCAGCAGTGACAAGAACTTGTGTCAGAATTTTTTCTGTAATTGACTCTCTCCAGGACTTTTGGCAGAGTCACAAAGCTGACCGCTTCCTTTTTACCCAAACATCTCCCTTCTGGGCCTTTCCCCTGCTTTTTCTGTCCTGCTATCCTATAATCCCCACATAGCCACATACCCATTGCCCTCATTTTCTTCTCAGGGTATCTTTGGCCCCACCTTGTCATGTTCCCCTATTAATGTTTGTAAAGTAGTTAGAGCAGAGTATAGATTTTGTTAAATAAATCGAACTAAATTCTGTAAATAAATATTCCTAGTAATTATCACTGGAGTTCATTATCCCTGGTCTCTGGGAGGAGTTGATCTATTCTAAATAAATAATTAGGAGTAGAGTATAAATGAGGTTTATTTCTACCAGGGTGCATTGCATTTAAAAATAGAAGCCTGTCAATCCAGTGAATATGTGATTTGTACAATATGTAATGCAAATTTGAGGGATAACAAACAGGACGGAGAAGTACTCCTTCCTTACCACCATTAGCCTCTTTCCCCTTCATGTGATTCTCCAGCTCGAGACATCAGTGCTGTTCCCAGTGACATGGGCAAAGAGCAGACAGTGTTCATGACTGGCACTAAAACTCTTGTTTAAACTCTCCCTTTTCAAATCGATTGTGTTTCCTATTTATTTAGAAATGCCCCAGCCTACTTGGGAGGCACCTTTCTTGTTCTTCATTAATTCACCCATACATACTACATTGGCTGCTATTCCTGCCTAAAATCCTTTACAGTTGGGTGTCTCACAGATATTTGAATTTACAACATGGTAAAACTGAGCACTGTTTGGGCAGTGAAAAAAAAATCTGATAAAAGGCAGATAAGATATATTTTAGAATGTAGAAACTGTTAAAATAGTTTCTGAAGAGTTGGCTGTTTTTGAATGCTAGACTATAGGCAGAAATGTTGCTGAAATGGTCTTGTGTCAGTCTAAGGAAACAAGAAGATAAATAACTGTGAAATGGGTTCATATATAAACATTGAGCTCATTAAATATTGTTTGCTCTTGTCTTGGTTTTCATTTGCATAGCATGTCTTTTTCCACCTCTTCACTACTAGTTTATGTGTTTGTATTGGTGAAGTGGGTTTCTTGCAGGCAGTATATAGTTGGGTGTAGTTTTTTAATCCATTCAGCTAGTCTATAGCTTTGAAGTGGGGAATTTAATCCATTTACATTCAGTGTTGTTATTGAAAGGTATTGCCATATTCCTGCCATTTTATTAATTTTTTTAATGGTTACTTTCCATTTCTTTTGTTCCTTTCTTTACCTTTTATTTTTTATCTTTGCTGTTTGGTTTTTTTTTTTTTTTTTTTTGGTAGTGATAAAATACTTTTTTTTTTTCTCTCTTTGTCATTTGGGTTTCTGTTCTACTGGCAGTTTTTATTCTTTCTTGTGTATTTATGATGATATATATCACTCTTTTGTTCCAAGATGTAGGACTCCCTTGAGGGTTTGTTAAAGGACCAGTCTTGTGCTGGTGAATTCTTGCAGTTTTTGTTTGTCTAGGAAAGATACTATTTCTCCTTCATTTCTGAAGGAAAGCTTTGTTGGATGCAGTATTTTTTGTTGGCAGTTTTTTTCTTTTAGTGTTTTGAATATGTCATACTACTGTCTCCTGGCCTGTGAAGTTTCTGTTGTGAAGTCTGCTGTTAGCCTGATGGGGATTCCTGTATAGGTGATTTGACACTTTTCTCTTGCTATTTTTACCATTCTTTGTCTTTGACTTTTGACAGTGTGACTATAATGTGTCTCAGGGAGGTCTTTTTGGAGTTGAATCTGTATGGGAATCTTTGAGCTTCTTGGGTCTGGGAGACCATACCTCTCCAAATACTTGGGAAGGTTTTGGCTATTATTTCATTAAACCAGCTTTCAATGCCTTTCTCTTTCTCTTCCCCTTTTGGTACACCCATAATATGGGTGTTTGTATGCTTGAGGTTATCAGAAAGATCTCATAGGTTTTCTTCATTTTTTTAAAATTCTTTTTTTTTTTTAATCCAACTGTTTTAATTTAAAAAGCCTGTCTTCTCTAAGTAGGCATTTCTCTAAGGAAGATATACAAATGGCCAACAGATATATGAAAAAATGCTCAACATCACTCAGCATCCGGGAAATGCAAATCAAAACTACACTGAGATACCATCTCACCCCAG